GCCAACCAGGCACCATTTACTTGTGCATACATCTGTACTATCCGTAATGCACCGACTCGTAACAAGTCATGCAATTCGTTATTGAAGACTTGGACCACAATTTCTGTGTAGGTTGACTACACCACCAGCTCCGCTGTGCTCTGTGACCGAACACACACACCTTCCCCAAAACAACAGCAACAGGTTCCAAAACGTATTGAGAAAATCCTGCACAGATTCTTACCATGATATCAATGACAGCATCCTTGCCCCGCGTCATGGTGGAGGAGAGGCCTAGACCACTGGCAGTGCAGAGAGATGGCGACACCTGCGTCATATCGACGTGTGCTAGCTTTTCTATGTACTGGACAACGATCTCCTCCCAGCTGTTATCAAAGTAGACACCCTGGCAGACTTGTGGAGATAATTGAAATTTGTTATCCAGCAGGGACTGCACAAGGAGAAAAGCACCAAAGCAGCATTTCCCGAGAATCCATGAGCTTCTGTCCAAGAATGTTCGTTCCGTGTTCGTTCTGAAGTCTCATGGAATTCCCCCATGGTTGTGTATAGATATACATGTATAACGTAGACAAGGTGTCTGAGGTCCATAAGTAGAGAGGTTCCACAGAACGTTAGTAAAAAACGTAGTCGATCTACGGAAAGTCTTACGTAAACTGCACGCGGATCTGTGTTCCGCCATACAGAGTATTCAAATCACGTAGCTGCACCGACGTTATCAGAGCCCTATCTACGTACTCTCCGTAGACAACTTTCCGTAAGTGGAGTGGAAACTCGCGAGTTCACGGGTTTCTCCCGCCCACTAACGTAAAGTTGCTCAACTTTACGTAGTGCGGAACCTCTCTAGTTTCCAGTAAACATTTCACAAGGTTCCACATGAGTGTCCATTCGAAAATGTTCAAGGTCGGGGAAAATATTCTTCTTGAAAGGAGTTCTTCTGGATTTCCTCTATTCAATCTTAATTTAGGGATTTCCCCCAGGGGTTTGTTTCTGATTAGAATTTGGGGACATGGCTGTTATAGCCGTTACGTCACACGCGTTGTGATGAAGCACTCTACGGGCTCCTGGGCATCCTACTTGATTAAGCACAGATCTGGAATACCGTAGTATCTTGTATTGAAGCACATCTCATAATAGACACCTGTTTCGAATACAAGCCTGATTTTTGAAGATGCACTGTCGGCACATAAGCCTGGTTTTAGTGTTCACACACATAGAAATACCTGGTTTGAATAGAAGCCTGATGTGAATAGAAGCCCAGCCCTGACATCGGCTTCCACAGGAATACGCCTGGCTTCTATACGTGACATAACGGTAGCTACGTCACACCCAGTTTACTAGCAATACTTATCGTACCTGGACTTTTTCGCCTATGCCCTGTCCGTCACGCAGTATGTCCGCTTCACTAGTTGACTCAACCGTGGCCTTGATGCTGTTCATGCTGGCGCGGATTTTCGCCGCTTGAAAGAGGAGATCCTCTTTCTGTAGGCGCAGCGTCTTGCATCTAGCAGTTTTCTCACAGGATATCTACGCACAGTTTGAACAAGAAATACAAAAATAGCAACTGAATCAGCTACAAAAAGATTTTTTAACCCTTTATGTACGGTGTGTACTCGAATCGATCACATATGATCGATTCATGATCGATCCGTAAAACCTTCGTAACTCCATCATGTCTTGTCCAAATTCAACAATCGAAGGGTCTATTCAGTAGCGGAAACTCTAAGCTTTCCAATGCAACAATCGCCGAAGAGCTACGATGTACTAATCCAGAGATATCGCGCGCCGTATTCTTGTATCGGCAAATTCAAATTTTTATCGATCTCTTCGCCATTTTAGGGGGAAATCCCTTTTCGTGTGCTCTTTGACCAACTCAGCACATGATAATGACGTAGTTGGCTGAAGTTTGAATCGCCTTGAAAAGATTTGAGCGTTCTGCGATAGAGGAGAGTGGAATGGCGTTGATGGGGAAATTTGCTCGCATATTGGGCTTGGAGACGACTTTGATGTGTTCCTGTGCCTGATTTGTGGCAGCTAGTTGATGGATCCTGGTATCCTCGCGTTGCTCTTGCCAGGAGCTTTCCAAAGAGCCCAAGATAGTGGAAATGGAGCGAAGGAGGCCAAAGTTATAGCCTGTTGAAGGTGAAAATTGTGCTGAAAATTCAAATTCTGCTGCATTCTGTGCTGGAAATCAGTACATAAAGGGTTAATACTCAATACAAAAAATACTATCGGCTCTAAAACCAAAACCAGAAACACTAATATTCTAAACCTGCACCTCTCCAATTTGCACATGCTATTACACTGCTCCGCTCGTTCCCCACCTAATAACGCCTTCATTAGTGCTAGCTTTAGAATACTAGAGTGTTCTTGGTAATGTTTTTAGACCCAATATGAATGACCATGTTAGATTTGGATGGAGAGGCAAGGATTAAAAATTTACAAGTAAAAATAAAGGACCAAAATGTTATGCGTTATTCGTAGTTTGTGTGCAACACTAACAGTTATAAGCAAGATGTTGTGTAGTCAGAAGGCTGTTGGTTTGCGCATCCAAGACGTGATAGAGCATAGTAGCAGGTGGTTGAATGTCAGTATCACATCAGTGAGTATTGTGTTAGCTGTTACACCTTCTGACTAGTACACAACATCTTGATTATAACTGTTAGTGTTAGTGTTACTGTTGGTGTTGGTGTTTAGTGTTAGTGTTAGTGTGTTAGTGTTAGTGTGTTAGTGTTAGTGTTTGTGTGTTAGTGTTAGTGTGTTAGTGTTAGTGTTAGTGTTAGTGTGTTAGTGGTGGACACACACTACAGATAACATGTAATAGTTTTGGTCCATTCCTTAAATTTTAAATCATCTAGTAAATTTTTTACGTTCGGAGGAGAGTTGGTCAGACTCAATTTCCCGCATACATAGGAACACAAGCACCTTTCATGGTCAACTCACACAGGCACAGCTTCCAAGCAGCGGCGGTGGGAGGGAGAGGGGGGGGGGGGGGAGGGAGAGAGGGGAGAGGGAGAGGGTGGGTGGGTGGGGGGATGAGTACATCAGACCTACCTCATTTGCTGTATCCATGTCACCCTAGTGCCAAGTCAGTGGTTGTGTCCATGTCACCCTAGTGCCAGGTCAGTGGTTGTGTCCATGTCACCCTAGTGCCAAGTCAGTGGTTGTGTCCATGTCACCCTAGTGCCAGGTCAGTGGTTGTGTCCATGTCACCCTAGTGCCAAGTCAGTGGTTGTGTCCATGTCACCCTAGTGCCAGGTCAGGGGTTGTATCCATGTCACCCTAGTGCCAGGTCAGGGGTTGTATCCATGTCACCCTAGTGCCAGGTCAGTGGTTGTATCCATGTCACCCTAGTGCCAGGTCAGGGGTTGTATCCATGTCACCCTAGTGCCAGGTCAGGGGTTGTATCCATGTCACCCTAGTGCCAGGTCAGTGGTTGTATCCATGTCACCCTAGTGCCAGGTCAGTGGTTGTATCCATGTCACCCTAGTGCCAGGTCAGTGGTTGTATCCATGTCACCCTAGTGCCAGGTCAGTGGTTGTATCCATGTCACCCTAGTGCCAGGTCAGTGGTTGTATCCATGTCACCCTAGTGCCAGGTCAGTGGTTGTATCCATGTCACCCTAGTGCCAGGTCAGTGGTTGTATCCATGTCACCCTAGTGCCAGGTCAGGGGTTGTATCCATCCTAGTGCCAGGTCAGTGGTTGTGTCCATGTCACCCTAGTGCCAGGTCAGTGGTTGTGTCCATGTCACCCTAGTGCCAGGTCAGTGGTTGTGTCCATGTCACCCTAGTGCCAAGTCAGTGGTTGTGTCCATGTCACCCTAGTGCCAGGTCAGGGGTTGTAGCCATGTCACCCTAGTGCCAGGTCAGGGGTTGTATCCATGTCACCCTAGTGCCAGGTCAGTGGTTGTATCCATGTCACCCTAGTGCCAAGTCAGTGGTTGTGTCCATGTCACCCTAGTGCCAGGTCAGGGGTTGTATCCATGTCACCCTAGTGCCAGGTCAGGGGTTGTATCCATGTCACCCTAGTGCCAGGTCAGGGGTTGTATCCATGTCACCCTAGTGCCAGGTCAGTGGTTGTATCCATGTCACCCTAGTGCCAGGTCAGTGGTTGTATCCATGTCACCCTAGTGCCAGGTCAGTGGTTGTATCCATGTCACCCTAGTGCCAGGTCAGTGGTTGTATCCATGTCACCCTAGTGCCAGGTCAGGGGTTGTATCCATGTCACCCTAGTGCCAGGTCAGTGGTTCCAAACTAACTAACAATGAGTCGCAGCAGAGTTGGAACAATCCTTCTGCTTGCAAGCATGACATAATCCTAGTACCGACAGCGACAAATTCAGTGACTATTTCGGGAGGAAGACATATCAACTGTGCTATCAAGAGACGGTCAAACCAAACTGTAAATGCAGCATGTTTTAGTAAAGCTAAGAGGATGCTAAGGGCAGGATTCCACTGCGGCTCTGCCACTCCGCTGCTCGTCATCCGCGGCTTGAAACGTCATCATTACCATAGTGACCACGGCTCCAGCTGGAGCAGCGAGGCCGCGGATCACCACGAGCTTTCGCTACGATTCTTGAGCAAAAACTGGAAGCCGCGGTCCCGGCTCGACTTGTTTCCCGTATCTTGCATTGTTTTATACGCGAGAATGTTCAAATTCAAATTTTAATACGTTGCTCAGGCCAGGACACGAAGATGTTTTTGATTTCGCGCACACGCGCACACACACAGGCAGGTAAAACGTCATCAAAAAACGTGGAGCACGACTGCGGTAGCGTGAATGGCAAGTGTCCGTGGAACCGCGCTGCTCCGCTGCATGCAGCCAAGTGCCGCGAAATCGCAGTGGAACCCGGCCCTAAGATGTTCAAAGAAAGTACAAAGCAGTATAAAAAAAGAAGCAATGCCATGCACACATACACGCATAAACACACACCCATAAACATGGCGATACTAGACAGAGGTATCTCACAAAAGTTCCAGGCATGATTTAACGCATCACACTCACCTCATCCATCATTAGAGAACGACGTGCCGCGAAGCCGTCAATGAGTCTCTGAAAGCACGTGTGTACGTCGAACATCACCTTATCCGCTTCCCTATCCACCGTTGCCTGACACTGGTCCAGTAGAGATGTAGCCGTCTCCACATTCACCATCACCTGTTCAAGCTCACTGACCTTCCTCTCCAGGGTGGACTTCTCCTCCATGATTGCCACGGAAACCGGCACAATGCTGGGCATACATAACGGCAGGGAGTGTGCAGTGCCGCGCACGACAAAGACAGATCCAGACATGAACAGCCACACGAGCACTCACACACGCGCACACACACATACATACACACACACCACCAACACGGATACAAAGAAACAGACAGACAGACAGAGAGACAGTACTTGGACTTGCTCATTGCCAAAACAGGTCACGTAGGTCTCCCCGGGAGAGGGGAGAGAGAATCAAAAGGAACCTTGGAAAGATGACTCAATTGGCTATTGAACCGCCCAACAGCTCATACCCCCTGAAATCCCAAACCTCTGGGTGGACTTAGATGATCCCACTTATCGGCTGATCACACCTTGGTAAGTGAGAGAGACAGACAGACAGACACACACACACACACACGGATACACGCATGCAGATAGCATGGGAAGACATATCTGGGACTGTTGGGTTTGTAGAGACAGAGTTGGAGGCAATACACGATGTGCGTGTCCTTTACCTCTGTCTGTCTCTACCATGCCCGTGATAAGGGAAGAAAGGACAAAAAGTGGTGACCCCAATCATTTTATAGTGAACACAGTCTTCAACACACCTCTCACCAGTGTACGGTATGCACACATGCACATGCACACACAAAATAAACAGACAGCGCACATGCACGCACAAAATAAACAAAGAGCGCACATGCACACACAAACACACACGAGCACCTATGCCACAAACATACACACATACACACACGTACATGTACACATATGCACACAAGAACATAAACAGTTACTTACTGGTGTTGACGATGTACCGGCTCTTCACAATGGGAACAAACGTATGTTCTACATCCAGTACACCAGAGCTCAGTACTATCATGGTGATCCGGCTTGCAAGCGATTGCCTGCTGCTCTGCGTGCGCATCTTCAGTTCCTGCACTGCTTGTCACACCGCCTACAGGTTGCCATGGCGATGCGTCATGCCCGTCTGTAGCCGCCAGAGGCTGTTTCGTGGCGATGGGTACGAGTGTATGTGCACACGTGTGCTGGTCAGCGCGATGTGCCGAAGAATGACGCGTGCACAGACACCGCGTGCACTCCGTACACCGTGCCTCGGCCACAACGTCGCCAGCCGTCTCGTCCCGACATTGGTCACACCTCGTAGCCGCAACGGTTGTCTTGACGACGTCATCCCCGCGGTACAACTGTAGCAGGTCAACAAGCTTGTTGACAAGGTAGTTGGTAGCCAGATATCGCACGCCGCCGTCTGGCACAGTGACCTCAAAGCGGCACTCCGGACAGAGCAGGGTTGACTTGCTGGCCTGGGCGTTGAGTATGGTTTCCAAACATTCCCTGCAGTAGGTGTGTTGGCAGGGCAGGACTTTAGGTTCACGATAACAGTCTAAACAGATGCTGCACAGGAGAACGGCGTCGTCGATTTGAGCTGCTAAGCCCGTGGCCAGCTGATGTGATGCACCAGCTCCGTCGACCTGATCCTCACCCGCTGCCTCATCTCCCGCTCCGTTATCAGCTGCAGTCGTAATGACGTGCGCTGCAGCAGTAGGAGCTGTGCCGCCTTCCGAACGTGCTGCTGCACTGGCAGCGTTCTGCCTCGCAAGTAGAGCTCTTCTCAGCTGTTCACCCAAGCTGGGCGCCCTCGAATCTACCTGATCCCCACCCTCTGCCTCACCGCCCGCTCCTTTATCAGCTGCAGTCGCAATGACGTGCGCTGCTGCAGACGCGGCGACGCTTTCCGTACGTGCTGCTGCACTGGCAGCGTTCTTCACAAGTATAGCACTTCTCAGCTGTTCACCCAAGTTCGATGCTCTCCGCTCCGCATCGCCACTGTCACTACCTGACGAAGCGATGCGGCGTCGTGGTGCATTGACCGGAGTCGGAGAATGGGATTTCCGCACATGTTCTTGTTCAGCGAGTTCGCCTGCGGATGAAGAGGAGGATTTACGGTCCGATTTGCGCTTCTTTGCGGCAGCTTTCTTCACAGCGCCAGCACTTGCAGCAGATTTGCTTTCCATTGTCGACCACCAACATTACGTGTCGTTATTTACTAGGCTAGGTAGGCGCAGGCCGCTGTTACCCTCAGCAACATCATGATAGTGTAACAATCTTATGGGCCGTTACACGCCCGATTGGTTGAGAGACTCACCTACTCTCCCCTGACTCACTTGTGAGGTCTGCATTCGCCACTATTACACTAAGGTGTGCAAGGCATAGGCATAGTGGTGGCCTGCGGAAGCGAAGGCTAGTTTGTGTGTTTCTGAACATTCAAGCGATGCCAACGCGAATCCCGCGAATTATTATTATTATTAAATTAACAATCCGAAATGAAGGTGAAGGATGGGATTTCCGTGATTTCCTTTCCTTTGCGCACCTTTCAAATAATTTTGAAAAAATAATCGATGCATGCTCTGAAAAAGTATAAAAAATTATTAAAATTTTTAAAAATATTTTTACACAAGGGTCTCAAAACCGGTATAAAAATATTTTTATATTGGTCTACACTACAAAGTCATGTACTAGTATATATACTGTCATTAGTGAGGTTTTGCATTCCGAATTTCGGTACAGCGTTCTTCGGTCATTTGTCGAACATCAAAATGTCGAACTTTCGCACCAACGTTTGTTTTGCAAGTCGAAAATGATGTGTTTTCATTTCGTGAGCCACAGCATCAGCAACGTCCTGTCCCGTGCTCCTGTTCTTGCTGATTCCAACGAACTTTGATCGCCCAAAGAGTCGAGGGCCAAGCCTGCCTCCTCAGTCGCCTCAGAAAAACCAACTCCATGGCCAAGTCAAATTTTATGCGTGTCGCCATAGTCTTTTCAGCCACACAGATGACGATGAGGACACTCCAGGCGAAAGAGAGTAGACAGGCAGTGGAGAGGAGCAATCAGAGGTAGCTGACGATGCTATGTCGCCAAAGACGCCTGCCAAGCGATGCCGAGATAAGAAACCTCTTTGAATAAATCACGCGCTAGCGCTCTTCTCCAAGAAAATGCATCCGAAAAATATTTTCGGCAAAGTGAGCTTTTTCCGAACAAACACGCCGAATCTTCGTTTGCATTTTCGACCTCGCTCCCGCGTGCCGAAACTTTTTGCCGAATTTCGGAATGCAAAACCTCACTATTGTGCATGTGTACGTGTACGTGTGTCGTTGTTGTTGCCCTTGCGTTGGCATGGCACTTGACAGCATCTGGTGTGGCACGTGAAATCCAACTCCTTGTAAGATCTGAAGTAAAGCTGCGCAACCGCTAGCGCTGCAAGTCCCGAGTCTGTTGGAATCCGTGCCTGATATTTTATGAGGTCGGATTTTCCTCCTGCCATTATGTCATTGCACATAGTCATCGAGATATCTCGACTACAAGACTAAGTACAAGGATGAGACGTGAGCTGAGTGGAGATGAAAACTGGTGGGGTTTTCTCCAGGGACTCAGGGAGAAGAAGAAGAAGTAAAAATACATTACAATGACTGTCTAGAACTTTCATTTCTAGCACTGTAAAGTGTATACATGTATAACCGTTTTCCTGCACTCATGAGTCATGTAGTGATGTACATACTTCTTGGTAGACAGGTGAATACCAACGCATATGGCCGATTGGTTTGCAGGCTTGCCTGCGAATCATGAGGTCCCGAGTTCGAGACCCGCGCTGGTAGCAGGGAGCGTGTAAAGACTTTTTACGTGAGTAAAGACTTTTTATGTGTGGTGAACTGCGCCGACACCCACGGTCAACTGGGTACTCACAGCTCGGAGTGAGGGTAACAAGGATGCAGTTTACAGGGTTATGGGCCGTTACACGCCCGATTGGTTGAGAGACTCACCTACTCTCCCCTGACTCACTTGTGAGGTCTGCATTCGCCACTAAGGTGTGCAAGGCATAGGCATAGTGGTGGCCTGCGGAAGCGAAGGCTAGTTTGTGTGTTTCTGAACATTCAAGCGATGCCAACGCGAATCCCGCGAATTATTATTATTATTATTAGACAGGTGATCCTCAGGCTGCGACCGCTGCGTATGAGTATGAGTGCATGGCAAGTAAACTGCTCTAACTAAACACGAATAAGTCCAGTTCACAGAGCCAGTATTAATACAATTCTCGCAGGAAATCTCTGAGAATATTCCCTGCGTACAGCTTTGGGTATTTCCTGGTACGTGGTTCTCACCCTACACAACGTTTTGCCATCACAATTAAATTTTAAATTCTATTTTTTGAGTTTTTATTTTGGTTCTTTTTCTTCTTTGTGTTGCATTCACCTCTCTCGATTTCTCATTTGCTTGTGTTCTCGCAACTTCTTGAGTTGCTTCATTCAATTGGTACCATTCTTTGCCAGTAAAAGTGGCTTTCCATCACAGAGGAAAGGAGGAGCGATGATAGGTGACGTCATGGTATCGGACTAGAAGAACAACCTAAGGCTAAGTCCTTACTTCGCAGTAGTACATACTCTAATACAAGCTACTGCACTGCAGCTGTAGACGTACTGTATATGAAACTAGCGGCAAAACAAAATTATTGATAACACAAACATGTGATATACATGTACAAGCACCTGACGGTATTCAAATCTAGTATGATTATTAGCAATTTATAAAATGTTCTTCGCGCAGGAAGTCTTTGTGTGTCTCGAAACACTTCACGGATGAAGCACGCACCACTAAAGAGCTCAGCCGATAGCAAAAAGCATAATTTAGGAAAACAGTTGAAAGCATTACAATTGAAGTCAAAGTCAGGGCCTCTTCTTTTCAACTTTGCGAGAAACAAGGAAACAAACAAAGCTCATTATCATCATCATCCACTTCTGTGTGGAGAAGTTCAGCGAATAATACATCAAATAATGGTATGCTGTTGTAGTTACAGCCGGGCGCCGGGATACTCGGCCAGCTGTTCTCCTGCAAGCATAACTCAAACACTCCAGCTAACAAGTATAGACAAAGGCGTACATGTCAGAAGATAAACATTCAACGTAACGGGAAGAGATTAGCTAAGGGCACGTAACCAACAAACGCCATAGTTTCAAGTGTTGCGCACCACCGATATAAGTTATATCCAGTAAACTAACTCTCAACAACTCGAGGGCTACAGGTCTTCAATGCTCATGCATACTAATAGACCACCCATGTGCATGGACGGCTGGGAAGAAGTGCTATACAGCTGAGAGATAAACTTCTAAAGGCGAGCAGTGCATCAGGAAGAATATCCTGAGAAAGTGAGGGATGGAAAGTTGCTGCATCACACACAAGCTGTGTTATAAGGTCGTGATCTGACGCTGCTCGTTCACCTGTGTTATAAGGCCGTGATCTGACGTTGCTCGTTCACCTGTGTTATAAGGCCGTGATCTGACGCTGCTCGTTCACCTGTGTTCCGTGAGGGTGTGTGAAGGCCAGTGGAATGTAACCCTCCTGGTTAGTGCGAGGCAGCACGGCCCACACCCAGCCCGGCTTGGAGCGGTCTGTCGTCTCCAGGACAATGTCCCCGGACTTGACGTCCATCTCATCGGCCACCAGTGCTGTGTAGTCGAATATTACCACCAGACGTGTGCGGTTGTCGCCGACTGCCTCCCGTGCCCGGATCATCTCCAGCATAGCAGTTTTAGTGCTGGACATCGACGCTCTTGACGACGTGCTAGACTGCGGTGAGCGTTGATCAGGGCATGTCTTGTTCGGAGATGCTCCTCCCTCTGGCTGTGTGTTTGCATGCTTCATGTCCGTGTGGTCAGTGTTGCTGTCAGTCGCCTCATCGGTGTCGGTCGGAGCGGGTGAGTTATGCCGTGTTGCCATGGTGGAGAATTGCTGATCAGCGTCGCTACCATCCGGGCAATGTTTATACACTAGTGATGCCGGCCCTGCTGATACCGGTGGTGATGGCGCAGCATTGTCATGTGACGTATCAAACCCGGCCAGCGAGGAGCGACGTGAGTTGGCCCGCGACCCTCCGCACGACTCGTCACCCGTAGCGATGGCGCTGTCGTCGGTGATATCCGTGGCAACGCTATCACGCACAGTCGTACTGGGACGGCGTGGCTTGTTGAAGATGAAATTCTTCGGCAGCTGTTCCACGCTGGGTGGCCCTGTAGTGTCAGTTGATCAGATGCACAGTAGAAAAAAACACAAGAAAATATTTTAGGGAAGAGCACAGTGTACAATCATGTATGTGCAAAACTTTCCAAGAGGAAGGAGCCATATGCGACGTGTAAGTCCTGTATATGCATGACAAATACATCATGTACATGTAGGGCCAGAGAACACACAACATAAACGTAGGGAATAATGAGTGGTGTGGCCACACACAGGTCAGTAGTGTAGATCCGGGTGCTCCGCTCAAGAAGAGCAGTTTGAAGCAGCACTGCCCTAAACTCCACCACGCCTTCCACCACTCCTTCCGCCACTCCTGTACATCACTTCTTCTGCCACTCCCAGATCCTATCAGCACCCCTACACCTGTCAGCTTATAATATAGCCGAGCGATCGTCCGGAAGGGCAACAGCACATGGACTGCACAGCACAAACAAAACACACGGGTGACTCATTCTTCCTTACCTGTCGAGCCGTTCATATCGGTCGTCATACATTTCGGCACACGTCCTTGCTGTCCAGTTTTCCTCTTCACCAACAGCCAATCATCATCATGTTCTTCCAACACAACAACCTCTTCACCTTTACTCACGCATAGCTCTGTGGCCGTGTTCGCCTCGAAGTTGTACGCCATGCGAACGTGTCTGGGTGCCGACCCTCGAGCTGTGCTGATGCGCACATTGCGTAGCGATGTGGCGCGTCGCGATGCCAGCGTTCCGTCCGGTCTAGCGATCCCCGACACAGCGCGTCGTGGCGTCACTCCGCTGTGTGTTTCCGACCATCCCGTCGCGCTTCCGCATCGTTGCTGCTCCTGTTGTCCGTGCAGTGCATGGTGCGATGTTGCCGTCTCTCCGCCACCACCCGTAGCCTGACGGAGTCGTGTCGGTGTGCAACTGGTGGGTCGGTGACGCGTGCCAACAACCGACAAGCCACTCGGCGAAGCCCTTGCTCCGCTGTCATGTGACACGTGGTTGACATGGCCAGCTGTGCCGGCGGTGCTAGTGGAACTGCCGGGTCGTGGGCTGTGCGTGCGACTCACAGGCTGCGAGCTACTGAAATCCGACTTGCCACGTGGCGGTATCCACAGCTCCCGTGCTGAAACACTATCCGGCAAACTACGTTTTTTGCCCGTGGTGACAACTGCATTGCTGCTAGTGCTGACACTGCAGCTGCTGTCGTTACTACTCCATGACTGGGTGGAGCGACGAGAGTCGATGGACGCCCGACACACGTTGTTCCTGTCAAACGTCTTGGCACGCATCTGCTCCTGGGCAGCGGCATTGGTGCTGAAGAGTAGGGCGATCGGTTTGAGAAATGAGGACGGCACGAACCCATTACTCCCGGCGGTGGTGACGATGAAGCTCCAGTCTCCGTCTCGGTAGAGTTCGCGTACGCAATCGCCACGCTTCACGCTGATCTCGTCCGCAGCACACGATGCGAAATCCTGTGCTACCACGCAGTGTGGGTCACGTGATGATGATCCTGTGGAGCGTTGAGAAGATCTCTGCAGGGAGCTGCTACTTCCCCTGGCTAGCTCAGCCAACAACCGTGCCTCCTCCTCACGAGGCAGGGTCAACGTACTGCCCGCCTCCTGGGCATCCAACTTCCTCAAAGCTGTAAAAGAGCATACGGAAAGACAGAAAGAGAGAGACGGAGAGAGAGAGAAAGAGAGAGAGAGAGAGAAAGCACGTTAAAACTGATTTATATTATGGGTATTACTTGGAGTACGAGTAATACGAGTAGTACAAATGATTCTAACAGTTAGAAGACACTTCTGAGTACATGTACGTGTACGTGTACGTGTACGTACAACAGTTTCTGACTACTAGTACACGTTGTCATGATCATGGTGATGGGTGAGCCCAATTTACGCCATTCCAACATAACACGTTACACTCTGTGAGGCAATTACTACATCACTAAGCTATACTCCTCTGAGACCTCAGTACATAAAATACCATTGGCATTGCCCATTCGTCCATCACGAGAGCAACAATCTATCTTTCGTTGATGGTGACAACTGTTCACTATAATCTTCACTGCAGTGACAGTCGTTATTATCACGTTGTACATGTGCAACGCCAAGCCAAAGCAGCACACATAGTGACATACGTGACATTACCAACATGGAGCATCCGATGACAGCCAATCGTAACATCGCACACAAAACCCAGAACAGGACAGGACAGGACAGGACACTACAGTACAGAGTAGTAGGGTAGCGAAAGCTTGGGTGCGCGAAGCGCATGCCTCTTGGGACCCATCCCTTTTTTTAGCAAGGCGCGGAATGATTAATTTTAGAATTGAATGAAGTTGAACACGGTCCCCTACAACACACCCACAGATAACGTCGACAACAAAATCATGGTTCTGACTATCCCAGAAACTACAAGACGAACTCAACAAGACGCACTACGGGTTGATGTGGTTTATGTGCACTACCTCTATGCCCCCTATCTATGGTTGATGTGTTGAGCAGACGGCAAGAGGAGAGGCAGGGACAGGCCAGTGTTGCAGCTATTCCAGTAGTTGCAACACACTCAGTCAATGGAAGTCAATTCACCACGATTGTGACGAAGTCGCACCAACCTCTTCTTCACCTCAGTCACAGGAGTAAAACACGAACACAGTGAGCACGGACGTCTGTTGTGTTGATTAGTCGAGTCAGTCAGGCAACAGTACGATCCCCACAACAGTCAACAGTGCCAGTACTACAGTACTACAGTAGTAATGGCAGTACCACTAGTACTAGTCATGTACTACATACACTAGTATCGAGCACACAGAGTATGGGACAAAATATTCACACGCTGTTCAGGCATCTTGGAAACTATGTCTTCCCTGGGAAATAAAAATACTATGTCTTCCACCTTATTTTCCAAGCTAGAAGATAGTTCGGTTAAATAAAATAAGGATCCTGCGCAGTACGGATAGGCAAAGGTGGGATGATGGGGCGCTATACCAATGATCAGTGGCACTACAATTATTGTACATCTGCGTCTTTATTCGGCACTGGATACATTCAGCATAATTATTTAAAATTGCTTGGCTGCTGCCAACCTCCCAAGGCTTTGATTTGAAACTGTTTACATTGGGTCGCCAGTGATAGGATTTTAACTCCTTTCGATGATTACTTCTGCAATGTACTGTGCAAGGAGATGAGTCATGATATCCAAAGTCTATTCTGAAGGATCTTCTACATAACCCCACCAGAGTTCACCTCTGCCTCTGCCTCATCAAGACCGGTACTCTCCGAGCTCTGGCTCACCGCTGTACTCGACCTTGGTGCAAATACATTTTCATTTTTACAAGACAGTCTTGATTCGTACCTTTCTTCTTGTCAAAGGCGCATGTCAAGCATGATGCCATTTCTGTCTCGCTGTCCGCTCTTGACACAGCTGAAATGCTCAATGCAACGCGTTGAAGGAGACGTCTCTGCACACACTGCCCAAACCGTTCTTGATTGGCTAGCCAGATGCACTTAGTATGCTGTTGTAATAGGGTCGGCTGCCTTTCCCGTTCTTCCCACGTTTTCTCCTGGCGCTCCTGCCTTCGTACAGTCTGCTGCAACAACTAACGTTACTTCCCTAACTTTTACTTTCTGCTACCAGCACAGCACTCCCGCTCTGCCCTCCGTCACTGAACAAGCACACGCTCAACTGATTGTGGTCACCGGTCGTCGATCCGTTTTCACCCCCGACGGTGGTGCCACTTTCACTCCCTGCGCACACAGTACAGGCTGTAGCAGCCTGTGTAGGCTGTGTAGGCTGTACTACCAGTGATAAGTGACACATACGTCATTGTACTGGCATAGGCTAGAAACTGCAGGAAGGTGGCCTAATAACAGTTACTACTGATCATGCCCTGGAACAAGAACAGTACTACTAGTACTACTACATCTACATGATTGTACTGTACTATGCTGCAGTATACATGATGTAGTGCATGCTGTACACATGTAGCTACGTAGGATGTGTGAGTGTGTGATTTGTTTATTGTTTGCTCGTTCCTAGCCACAGGCCCTAGGGTTGAACGCTGCCTGCTGCCAGTTCTGGTGGTAGATCGGGCATGGCACGCAGGTGAGTACAAGTATGCGGACCTGCGCCCCGGACTTGGTAGCGGACATGTCGACACCGCGTACCGGATCGCGGAGCACGAACCACGGGCGCAACCAGATCGAAGTCCGAAGCTGAAGTCAAGCGATCGTGGAGTACAGACTGACTACCAAAAGTACCGAGATCACTTGTGCAGGGCTAGTCGCGGCGTCGAATGGGACATGTGACACGTCTCAGCTTCCAGTGAGTGGTGTCAACACACACAAGTGACAAGTCTGTGTCTACACCATGAACGGAGAAAGCAGAGTGACAAGTGATTCGCCTGACCTGTGAGCGTGGTGAGTAGCCTGGTCGACACTGTGCCGTACCTACCTGGCCTAGTTACATCGACTACAGAGTGCGCGAGTGAATGAAGCCTTTGAAGGGTGTTACGCTCATTCATACAGACTAGCACTGGCACTGGTACATGGTACTGCGTGCAGAGACAGAGAGAGTGTGTTTCCAGTTCTTTGCAAGTCACTGATACCTGTACAATCATGTACATGTGTAGCTGTGATGGTCGGATATAGTATCTTTCATCTTCACCATGTGACTGATTGTGAGCATAACTGACCAGATTATTCCTTCTATCAGTCTTCTTCTCCTTTCTAAGTTCTAGTATTCGTGCGTCAACCCAATCATTGCGAAACGCCTAGATCCTGTCACGTCAGTTTGCTGTAGTGAAAGGCACACAATCAATCATTCCCTGGTCTCGGCTACTACTACTAGTACTAGCTCAGTTGTTTTGTGTGTCTACCATACCAAGTCTTAGTCACAAGTTAGTGCCAATAGTGGTGAGCAGGACTCTGTTGCAACGTTGTCGTTGTCATGGTGAGCAGCGCATGTGCAGTATATATATGCATACATGTACAGACACTTTTTTTGACCGTTTGGCAGCGAGACCGCAAGAGCATGGGCTTCAGTTCAGTGGCGAAGACCCTGCACCACAGTCCACACACCGATAAACCACATGCTACGCGGATACGGTATCTTCACTCTAGTCCAGTCAGTATGTACATGTACTAGGTCGTTCTGTAGGTCACTTGTGACAAAAATAGAACTACAATCTACATAGTCAGTGTACATTGTAGACCCAGTACTGTCTTTATAATGATTACAGTGCATGGTGTACATGGTGTACATGCTGAGTGACTTGTCTTTATCTTTGAAAGACAGTCAAAGTCATGTACAATCAATCATAGACTACCAGTAGTACAATAGTCATGTAGTGTAGATTGTAGTGTAGTGCTCGAATGATGCTGTTTCGAATTATCTGCTCCACGAGTCCACAGCCTCAACTCCATGATCCACGTCTTCAGTCTCCGGAGTTGGCGAGATTATTGATCAGGTGGAACGCTTGCCTAGGCTTGGATCAGACTACGGACAGTTCGTTTGCACATGACCACTCACGTCACGATCCAGTCAGGTCATAATAATTATAATTTATGATCATGAGCATTTTTATGCAGCAACCAAACAACAATCGATGTTCGTGGCCGGCGCGTGGAGACTTCCTGGGTGGTGCACGTGCTAAAGCCTTAAAGGTGCTAGGCTGCTCAGTCTGCGGTCAGCCCCGAAGCGCGAAGATAGCGCGTCGCTGGTTGCGCTCAGTACTTTGCCTCCAACAAAAGTCCAAGACATCGTAATGCGCCGCGGTGTCCATGGTGTCTGAGCCAGGCCTGCCAGGGGCGGACCCATGCTATGGGCAGTATGGCGAATGGTGGAGGGTATGTACATGTACATGCATAGGTGGTAAAGACGTAATGCCAAGAAGAGACTCCAGAACACTAGCAATACAATCATGTACAGACGTATCATGCACTGGGCACTGGGCACTGGGCACTGGACAGTGGGCACTGGGCACTGGGCACTGTGCAGTAAACAAGCTAAACTAAAACTATAAAGCGCAGACCTCTTTCTCCTTTCTCTGCTTCTAAGTGCTGGCAGGTGCTGGTATGCTGAAAAATCACAATCAGTGCATGCAGTACCACCTAGGTACCTGATCGTCTCCCTGTGCAGTGTCATGTCGTCATGTCGTCCTGAGGTGATGTTTCAGCAAACAAGTCTGCAACCAGTTGTAAAGGTGTCTGCCTCGCCGTACCATCGGTGGCAGACAGGAATGTGCAAAACAACACCGCGTGATATCAGTATGATCCCCCATGATGTCTGAGTGATGTCTGGAGTGATGAACGGCGTGAGGATCGAGCAGAGAGAGAGAGAGAGCGACACACAGCGCTAGCGTACCATCACGCCTTTTGCAGCACTCGTACTTGACCCGGATAAACATGATGCATGAATGCCAAGATTGCCAGCATCATGATGATGATGAAAGCCTATCTAATTCTTTGATTGCAAATACAGTACATGTACTTGCATATCTGACTGTTGTGACCTCAATCCAACACTGGGCGAATATTATACGTATTTCAAGGCTCTGGCAAGTACGGAAGGCTAACGATATGCTGCACCAGATCATTGTGAGCACCGTCTACATTGTTGTACTAGTCTGTGTGCTGTACAAGAGAAATCAACACTCTGCGTGGGTGCGTGGGCCGATCTGCCACAGGAGTATAACTAATTTCTTACTATTCACAAAGTGTCTAGAGTCCTTGCTGCAAATAGTGCTCAATACCTCAAAATGGCCAGAGCGTACTACACAAAGGCAGAACAACAGGGACCAAAAATCTTTCTCGTAACTCGGAGTTTCGTGTTCATAAACACTAATCAGACGATCAGATGAGTGTTTATAAACACGAAACTGCGAGTTACGAGAAAGATTTTTGGTCCCTGTTGTTCTGCCTTTGTGTAACTTACTATTCACACATGTACATTGTACTGCCTGGGTTGACATTACTCAACGAGCAACCCGATTTTAAATAATTACACTGACTGAGTCTGTTATTCGCTGTTATCGTGACCGGCACTGCAGCAGCTGCTGGACATGTCGGCAATCCTGGGACTGCTGTCCTGAGTCACAATGCCACAATATCCGAATGTGTGCAATGGTACCGGTACCCTACACTGATACACATGTACATGACTGTATTCCTAAATTCCACATTGATGTTATCACAACAATGACAGGCTACATTATAATAGTAGCTGTCGACAGATGTGAGTAAAAATAAATTATGGACGTGCGAACTGTGGGAGGTCTACTAGTAGTCTCTCATACCGTTGCAGCGTTGGCTGTATTTGCGATGGGAACATGTACATGTACATCTCACATTGTACTAGTAGGTATCACACACAAGCAGCAGTCTGTAGCTGTGTCGCTGCTAGCATACCGTACCCGCTGACAAAATTTTAAAATGTCAAAATCCTGTCCGTGTGTCAAAGCTAACAGGTGTTGTCAAGCAGCTTAGTACAATCACATTGTACATTGTACATGTACATGTACTAGTAGTAGTAATGTCCAGGGTCATTGACTCATTGTACTATTGTACAGTATAAGAAAAACAAGAAGAAAAAAAGGCAGTATGAACTATGATGCAGGGATTGCCCGTCACTGATTGGCAGCTATCAGTATCACTGAACCATATGAAAATTAATGATCAAGTGCAACCGTGCAACGACCATTAATTTTATATCCGATGATACCGCAGTCGGTGATTGCGAATGAGCGGGCGAATCGAGCCAGGGAGTTCTAGAAAAATGGAAAAGAGATCCCTGGAGACTTGAGACTCGCTGCATGGAGGACATCTGGACATGTACATGTGTTGTAGTGCATTGCGGGATTACTGGGATTACTGGGATTACTGGGATTACTGGTAGGAGAAGGCACGAATAACGAGTATTACGAGTAATGACGAACGCATGGTCTCAGCTGCACAGAGCCAGCCAGGTTTAGTTGATCAAGCCTTCAAGGTTTGCATCATGTACCAGATGGCTGCATGACCGTGGTGTGCAGTGTGAATTAGGAGTCTGAGTCACTCTGAGTCGAGGAGGGGAATGGTGTGAGACTGAGAGGCAAAGATTCCACGATTCGCACAGCAACCGTCCGCACTGGCTGGTGGCCGTGCCACAGCCGGTGTACGGCCAGTAGATCAAGCAGTATCTGACCCCGACGCGGCATTCAGCAGAGAACTTTAAATTAAGCGAGCGGGTGGACACTGCTGCTGTGACTCGCATTCACACTGTTGTTCTCCTCCGTCTGTGGATCGACAGTTTTCGACCAGATATCCACAGGCACTCATTGTAGTGATACTAGTAGTCTATAGCGGTGTATTCCCGAACACTAGGCACTATGGATGTGCTTCTCTAGGTACATATTACTATTATTGCCATACGCAAACTAAAATAATCATCAGTGAGCCATCAGACAACCAACTAGGGGGATGGGAGGGGAGGAGGAAGCAAGACGGTTCATTGCACATCACTTCTTCGCACAGTGATACATGTACATGTACATGTATGTCTATGCTGGTGCAGACATTACTTTCGTTCAACCTCTGGGAAGGTATCACTGCAACTATTGGTGCCTTAAAAAGGGCTTTTCGGCTCGCAAAGGTCGCTTTCTCCTCCCTACCCAGGCTCGCAAGTACATGATTGTAGATAATGTAGCGGATAATGTAGATAGTGCAGACAGTAGAGCGACCGGGAAGAAGACGTCCACAGAATTGC